TTAAAATAAAATGCAAATGCTACCAAAATAAAGAGGTTGACGTGTGTAAACATTCGTTAATAAACAGGCTCTTAAGACGCAAAGAAATGTATGTATCACACCCATTCTTCTTAATTTGTGTTACACAATGTCTCGGAAGCGTTTTATTACTCTTTAGTAGCTATGATGACTTCAATATCAAGAAATATCCCGCAAAAGGGCAGTTCACCCATCCGTCTACCGGCTTTCTACCTTAGGCCTACATTCAACATCGACGGCCGCTCCGTTTGGGGTGGGACACCCTTCAGACAATCGGCAGGGTACCCCAGCTCCGGAAATGGGCGAGGTCGTTCTCCTCTCCACATGAGAAAGAGATAGAGAATTATAATACAAACAGAGAGAGAGGGGAGAAGAAATTGAGGGAGAAAGTGGCAGATGTTCGATGCGAGGGCCGGCTGGTCCCCTTGCCTGGTCTGTCTGCGCATGGGACGGAGGCGACGGGGAAAATTCAGTAGTCGTACGACGGGGCAGCTTGTTTACACCGACCGCCCGTCAGCTGCTCCCTTCTTTTTTTGTGTACTCCTTTTTCTTCTACGCGGTCGGGTGTTGGTGGCATTCGCGATAAAACGGCACTGTGCCGCGTGGGGAAGAAGTTGAATGTTCGAGTTTATATATATATATTTTTTTTTTTTTTTTCGTGGGGGGGGGGGGGGGCTTTTGGTGACTTAAAAAAAGAAAAATACAAATACTAATTAATGCCTTAACCACGGTGTAGGAAAGCATTCCTACACCGTGGCCTTATCACAGCTTATGCCGAAGGTGTGTACAACGTTTGGGACGCAGCAAACGTCAAATGTGGGGCAAGCCTCCTATTGTGCAATAAAGGTGCAATAACACACAATACAATACAACACTCATTACTTAAAAACAAAAGTACCGAGAAAAAAAAATATCGCAGTCGACAGGATTCGAACCTGTGCGGGGAGACCCCAATGGATTTCTAGTCCATCGCCTTAACCACTCGGCCACGACTGCTGAACGAAAATGTCGGAACAAAAGTTCGTAGTAACACATGACCATCGATTCTTGGCTTTATTTGTCGGCAACGTTTCCAATGCTATCACATATTGCTTTTCTTTCCTTTTCGGGTAACATTGGATTCATGAGGTCTGTGTATGCAACGTAACGGCATAGTGAGGCGATTTCTGTAACATTTGAAATTATAATCATTAAAAAAAAGTGTCTATAAATTATCCCGGACATAATCATCTCTCATCCTTCGAAACTTTTCGCATCAATATTTTGTCACACACGGTAGAAATTTTTTGTTTGCTCGTGTGTTTGTTTTGCTGGGTCCATGCGGGGAAACAAGCTCATCCCAGAGGTGGATGAACCAAATGCGCGCCGCCATGGACGCTATTCTGGTTGCCCGGGCAACGCGTCGCGCATGCGCGCAAGAGAGGTAACTTTCGTTCGCTCGGCGGGCGCGCACAAAATTCGCGATTGTTGTCAGATTGTGTGTTGCGTGTGCTTGCGTGTTTTGTGCCCTTCAAGAACCTCTCTCTTGTTGGATACCGTACAGTCCCACATTTGTGACACGCTATCTGTGTTTCAATTCGAGCGCAACGTTTGAAATGCTGGTAAGTTCAAGATCACGTTTCTCTTCTTCGAGCCATTTCGCTTTGTAACTTTCAAATGCTTCGCGTTGACGAATGTTGGTGCAGGACGTTTTGACTACTTTTTAGTTTTTGGGAAAGTTATGCTTTCGACTTCAAGGCACTTTGGTGTCGTTTAGTTCGAGTTTGCCCTCCTTGAGCATACGTGCACTCGGTTTGCACGAGTCTATGGCTACGCGCTTCTTGTTTGGCGTACGTTGGGGTACTATACGGAAGTCTATTACCTTCTGCTCTCAGTAGCTGCCTCAGACTGTCGTCGCGAAGCGGCGTGTATGGATGTGTCAACTGGGTTAACATTTTTCTAATCAACTGCCGCAGACTGTCGCCGCGAAGCAGCGTGAGCTGGTGGACCGGGTAGGTTAACTCGCGCGACAAAATGTCCCTACAGCCTTGGGCGTACCAACCAAGGGGAGGCAAGGCCAGGGAAGCGGGAGCTTGTTACCCCCCCCCCCCCCCCCCCCTTCCCGTTCCAGTTTTCACAAAGGTGGGGGGGGAGGGGCAAGGCATGTGATTTGCCCCCCGCCACTGGGCAGGGTAAACACTGGCCGGCGGCGCCCCAGGGATACCAAGGGTACCGCCCCCGGCCCTGGAGAGAGGGGGGGGGGGGGGGGGGGGTCTGGTTTGCCCTTCTACTCACAAACAAGTTGGTACGTCACTGCCTACAGCGTGCAATTTGCGTAACAAGTATAGATAAAACGTTAGTGTCGACGAAACGTCTATCGATCGTGTTTCCACGAAATTCCGGGAATGGTATCCTACCGGCAGTTGTCACATGATTTCAGACAGCCAATGGCGAGGTGACTGCCGGGAGAATATCGGGGAAATTATTCTCCCGGCTGCCGGGGTAATAGACACTGCCTCAATTATTGTCATGTTCGGTCGATCCGGGACATGCTGCAGCTGTTATCGCCAGCATTTGAGAGACCACAGAGAGCACATGCAGTAAAAAAAGAAAAAAAGAATATTGGGGTTTACGTCACAAAGCAACTTAGGCTATGAGCGATGCGCCAATGACTCCTTGGGTAAGGAACAACCCAGCGTTCGAACGCTACTCTTTGCAGTACGGAGGCCGATACAGAACGCCCTACGCGACGGAAGAGGTAGTAAGCACTCGTAACAGCGCTAGGAGGTATCTGGAAGGTGTGTTAATGAATAGGAACTTGGGTGACATATATAACTACTGACGCGTGGGATCATGCTTCGGTAAATGCTCGTGAACTATAATCAGTTACAGGTTAAAGACCGACGACCAGTTCGCTTTCCACTTTTCCCCTCTTCCTCCTCTCCCCCTTCTACCCTGTCCATCGTTGCCTGTTTCCTCCTCCCCTAGAGTGAGGAGGATCTTCTGCCTTGCAGAATATTGAGTCGGGTCGTTGGCCTTTAAGACAAGTTTTGGAGGGAAAGGAGGGCAGGGGAGGGGGAAGCAGGCGGAATGCTTGAGAGGAGGAAACCTCCTCCTGTCTTCAGCACTCTGTCTGCTTCCTCCTCCCCAGCCAGAAAACGTTTCTCAACTTGTGACTGACTATAGCAAGGCCAAATTCTGTAATATTACAGTAGTAACCGCTTGAGTGTAATAGCATGGTTGCAAGACTTACGTAATTTCTTCTTCGAGCTGGATAAGATCATGTGAACTTTGTTGAGGTTCTGAAGAAACATCCGAGATTGACATACCGGTATTCTAACGTCGATGTGCAACGGCCTGGAAGGACTTGGTGGCGCTTGTAGTCTAGCCCACATGATGTTTGCATCTTGTGTTCAGAATGCATCGTTCATCTGTACAGTATAGTTTGCCAGGCGCTCTGACACCACGGGCTTAAAGCTGAGAGACAGACACATTTATATTTCACCTCATGGTTTATTTTACAGTCAACGCGCATTGAGCACTCTGCCGATCTTCAGTTTCGTTCCACCCAGTCTTTTATACACAAAACACACGCAACAATCAATAAAAAAAGGTAGGACAAATAGAAATTCAAGAATACTAAAACGTACAGGTACAATAATAATTTACATCACAGTCACGAAACGGTTCGCAAATGATCGGGGGGATGCTCTTTCTTGATGTAAAAATGCATATAATGACATATACTGCGATTTGGTGATAAGCTGCCAACGTGCAGGGCGTCAGGTTAACTGCACAAAGCCTATGTCTATGTATATACACGATAACTATACTGAAATATTCACGTGTGCTACCCCAACTTGCATTGGCATCTGATGGAAATATCTTGACCTGAAAGCTCCCGACAAATGCCAAGTCTTACAAGCTCGGTGCACTACAAGTCATCTACCGCCACAACCTGCTGTCCACAAATGACCAGATCAATACACGAGTATTGTAGGCAGAAGATATTGATAGGCGAAGGTTCAAGTGTTCGGAATCGGACATAACGAGGTACAGACCCCTCCACGGAGTAGGTGATGCTGTATCAGGCGATGCAAGAGGCAGCGTAAAGTGCAGGACCATAGACGAAGCGAAACATTTGACCGAATGAAATTGTTCAAGAAGCTCAGTGATCATGGCAATTAGTGGAACTGCTATAACATCGAGTGAATTGTTGTGCCCCGATCAACTGCTTGGAACAGAGCTACTGCGACAGCAATGTATGGGAATGCCGCAGAGTGTGACACCCTTTTGGGAAGGAAATCCAACCATCGCACTGAGAACAAAACCCACGAAGACAACCAAGTCACTTGCGTGTTCGTGGTTACGACGCAGCGCTCAGCTGACATAGTGCTGCGTCAGTGTTCGGCTAGAACGGTGTTCAGTGAGGCACATATCGAATACGAGTTGCAACCGAACTCTAACGCAGTATTTCTGTCCATCTGTGCCCCGCACTCTCAATCGAGGTAGATGACGTAAAAGAATCCCGTCCACAAGCCTTCTGTCGGATAAACGCAGGGCTCTGTGGGAAAACAAGCTGGTGGAAAAAGCGCCCCCTATAGTTCGCTCTCCTGGGCAAGTAGCCCTGCTTTTCACGCCCAAGGAAGGCTTCGCACGACTTGGCGATGGTGCACAATTTTAGGGCTCGGTGCTCCAGATATCGCTTGTCGTCTGCTTGCTGTTCTTCTTTGTTCTTCTTGTGCTATATAGACGCTTTCAGGCAGCTGTGCATGGGCGGCGCCATAACCGACCTTCAGTCTTTGTTTCCTCTTATTCCGTTCGCTTAACTTCATCATTGCGACAGCAGGACAGGTTACTGCCACTTTAGGTGCTACAGTGTCCTTCTCCCCAGCCAAGGCCCTTGTGGAGGCTGGTCAATGCCCGCTTCAGTGGCTCGGCATCTCGGTAAGACAAGAGAAGGTCGGCTATGGCGGCTCAATCTGGCGCGCGCTGAAAGCGTCTATAGGCTCTCCGCTGTTCGCGCCCATAGTGGTTGCGATGATGGTCGTAACGACATTGCCGAATCTCACGTTGATGTCACCGTCTTCGTCTTGTTAGCTTCGCTTGGATAAGTGTTGCCGCGCATTCTTGGTTTCTGCATCGTGACTTGGCAAATTTCGATAACCTACACAACATTCCTCTGCCTGCTGTTGCTCTTCAGCCTAGTGTAGCTTCCTTCTTTTCGCTGTAATGAAGAAAAAAAAAGTGGAATCAGTAATCAGCTCTTGTAGACAGTTTTCAAAAGTGCGCGCCACCTAAAAGCTGCCACCTTAATTATCCGACTTCACCCTTGTTTGGACACGTTCCCTGGGCCAGTATTGAAAACGAGTGCTACGTCATTATCTGGCATGGACTCGGACCCAATTACACGCCTTGTGCCCAAGCAATGGCGACCACCAATGTTGCCCGGTGGACCTTTGAAAAAGGTAAATTGCCAGGCGTTGCCTATGCTTCGTTTCACGTTACGATATGGCCCGCAAATCACGCCACGAGCCGTCGAAGCCAGTACAATGCCGTGCAATTCGTGTCACGTGACCTTCGTGATGTACGCGGTCACGTCACCCTCGAAGCGCTGGATGGCTGGAATGGCTCGTGGCGTCCCCTGCTGCCCATCGTATAAAGCAAAACAAAGACTAGTTTCTTCTTCTCTTTTCTATGGTTTTCTAGGCTTTAGAAGCCTTTTCATAATGTTTTGTTTTAAGACTGCAGAGTCGGCTAGTCGGGATAATAGAAAAGGGAACTACGACTGCACGTAGCAAATCATGCGCAGCAGATGAGAAAGAGCTGATGCAGGATGAGTAAGAGCTTAAGAACTGATGCTGCGTGAGAAAATACGAAACAAGAAGCTACAAATCATCGGTGTATGTTTCACGAAGACTGATGAATGGGTTCAATGGCGGAGAATGACGGCCGATGCGTGCAAGTGTTCTGAAAGTAGGCAGAGAAGAAAAGCAGATGAGGTGCAGGTTACAGGAAGACAAAGCTACAGGAACACCGACACCGCATTTTCACTTCTCTTCGAGGACCGCCTGTACGAGAGCAGGTTCCCCAAAGCACATTTGTTTTCTCCAGCAAAGGCGCTGCTTCGCGCACTTGCGACTGCTTACGACCGGGTGCGTTACAACTTCCAGTGATCTCCTACCATGAGAGAACATACTGGCGCCATCTATGGGGCAACGTGAAACAATTGCGATTGCCGTATATTTCGTATTTTATTCGAGCACTATATATTCTTTCTATATGGCTCTAAAAACTGTTGGCAACCTTATAAACGATTTTTTCTCATAGATAGTGCGGACACTCGATCTCGCGAGTACTACTGCAAAACCTTTGCTCTGGTGAAATACAGTTCCATATCCATCTTGTAGATGGCGCTAGCATGCCAGAGTTCTGTAGAGAGCCTAGATTGTAGTGAGGGTTCATCAGACTCAAACCACGGGGAGCGTTTGCAGTTTAATGGCGGACGCCTCCTGCAGAAATTGGCCTCAAGTGCGCATGCGCTGCGTTTTCGCGTGGCGAGGAGGAAATGCAACCGGAAAGGCAGAGACACTCGCAGACGACCAACACGTTCGTCATCTCCTCGCGGGTCGTATTGCGAACGCGACCCATGAACCACGTGACCTCGATCCAGCAGTTGGACACTCTCCGTAATATAGGCTCTCCAGTGTTCTCTTGTCGTCATAAGAGGTCACAAGAGGTTGTAACTTGTAATCATTCGGTCGTAAGCAAACGCAAGTGTGCGAACCAGCCTTAATTTGTGCAAATAACTTAACCTCCCGGTTGTGAGATCAAAATTACGACATCGTGCTCGTTCCCAGTCGGAACGTATCCTCACGACTTGTGCTCTCATATTAATTAGGCTTTCTCGAGAGAAAGAGTGAAAAAGAGAAGAAAACTTGGGTGTCCATTCAAACTAATATAGATATGCTTATACACAATTGCATCTGACCGCAGAACCTGCGGGGAATGCATACGTGATCAAACCGATTGATTGAAAATCGAAGCATTTGCAAGTGCGTAGGTGTTCGCAGTCAGCGCTACCTCACGTAAGAAACGTGAGCTGGTGTATACCTATAGTCGCCTTATCATCGCTTCCCAGCCTATCCGATCGAGGCAGTAGACGATCAGACCGCCAAAGAGCGAATCACGAAGCAGAAAGTGCAAATATATAATGCCCTACGTTTCTTAGATTGCCAGTGACTTCAGCGGGGTTAGTGGCCTACAGTGTGCGGTAGTGCACAACGGTGCATCTACAGAAGTGGATCTAGAGACAGGTTAAAAGCAAGACTCGCTGTGGGCCCCTGGGTGCAGCAGGCGTCTCGCAGCGAAGAAGGGGCTCATGCCCATGCTTGGTGAAGAATGCAGCGGCAGATGAGGCAGCGAGAGACAGCCCGAGGAGAAAGATGGTGGGGGAGGGAGCCGAAAACGGAATACCCTACCGTACCATGGAGTTTCTAGTGGTGGGGCTGTTCCAGGGAATGTCGTACGCCTCTTCCATGGTCTGGCTGTGCCGTGGGTCCATCGTCGGGACGTAGGACGTCCTGGCGTACTGGCTGACCAGCGGGGTGCCTGTCGGGAGGACGGAGGGTACAGAAGCGGTCGTTGGGATCATGGTGTTTACTGCACACGATGCACTCGTGACATTCGAACTGGTCTAGCGACAGGCGATTCAACATGGTGTTAGAAGACTACCCAATCAATATGTTGCGACAGCGTCACGTATATTTTTAATAAAGTAAAATAAATGCAATTGTTTGAAATTGAAACCCGAACTGGACTGGGGAGGAAGAAGAAATAAAGAGGATGAGAGCGTTACCAAAAATCACGTGGCTGTGCAACTTTTTTTTTTTTTTTTCTATCAACGTATTTGCAGGTTTTTAGAAGCCACAAAAAATTAGTATCATATTTCCGTTTCTATTTTTAATATTGAGTGTCTGCTTTAGATGACCCTCGACTTTGATTACATTTTGTGTCTAAACCATAGGAAACGGCACGTGACCACGGACAAGAGAGTGAGCGCGACTCAAACCGAACAATTCTCGATCGGCGGTTTTCAGGAGGAAAGAAAACAAATTTCGAGCCACACATTGTGTTCTGGGTAGTTGGGCTCTCATATGTCATGTACAAATAAGAACCTTAGCGAGCACAGATACCCTGTCAGTGTCCCTTTAAACTCTCAGGCGGTGTTTTTGAGCTGTCCAAACGAAGCACATTTTTGGAATACCCAGGTTTTACTCTTCCTGGCATGCTATTATATCTAAATTCAACTTAAAAATTGAGAAAACAGCTCACGCAGTTTATGCGAAAACCCACATTAAAATTTTCTCCCGCTTTCCAGTGGGGTAACGCGTCTCATGTTCTATAACTTGCGAGTTTTGGTGACGTGGACTTCACCAGCGCTCACTTCACATCATCAAGCACGTCTTGCGACCCACCGGGAAGAAGTCACAGCCATGCGGTTGCCGCGCCAGTTGCGCCAAACTGCGCCAACGGGCTACATGCCGCTACAATTCACCCAAAATGTGACGAATTCGCGCCAAAGCTGCGCCCAAAAGCTAATATTGGTTCTTGACTGCCCTTTTTAGTAATTCGGGTCTCCTTACATTTCGAGATCGTTACAGTGGGATGGTGTCCATTTTGGACGATTTGTAATATCGATTCGGAGTAGGAGGCACTGTTCGATTCGACCTTCGCATCAAACACGACGGTTGTCGGGAAGTTCTCCAACATGTGTAGCTCTAATGCGCCGAGAAACAGAGAGAGAAAGAGAGTGGAGGAGGAGGAGGAGAGCGGGCGGGGACATCAGAATGCTCAACTCCGGTTGGAATGATAAGTGGGTAGACCTAAAAGCTAGACGCCTTTTGTATCCACGGCACTGGTCGAACGCGTTAAAACGCGGATTGCGATTCTGTGTGCTGTGCTTCGCTGCAACGCAGATGCGTTCGCGGAGGAAACACCTTTCGAGTGTGGCGTTCAAAAACAATTAAAAATCCGTGACGTGGTGGATGTTGACGTGAAGATGCGATAGCGTAGCGGAGTTGTCAAAAGAAAACCACGGTTATGACGCACGACTGCAATGTCCATAATAGCTGCGGACGTCATTGGTCGGGTCGGTGATCGTTCCTTCAGGTTTGAGATTGAAGGCATAATATTTGAGTATCCGAAACGGTTGACACGTATCCGAGTAGTAGGCGTAAGACGTGTCATTTTAGGTTTATGCTTTATGTGAAATCCCTCGTTTTCTTTTTACCTATATGTAAGACTTAGACTCTTTGAGGTCGCCGTCAATCGATAAGGAGCTTCAATTATAGTCGGCTAGCATTGGATACGGACGAATGGAAGCTTGCCGATAGACTGTACGAAATCTACTAGATTTTGTTTAAGTAAAAGTGTTGATGGCATACATGCAGATTTTGCATAGTCATAAAGCCTTCCTCGTGCAAAAGGTCGTCGGTGTGCTATAATGATGAAAACTTCGTTTGAAGTGAAATAAAAATCGCATTAGTATTTCAACTTTCCGAATTAAAAAAAGAAAAAAAGATGCAGCTGCCGCAAAAGGACAAAAGCATACATATTGTCAGAATATTTGATTTCCGTGTCTAGTACTTTCAAGCAAGAGTGAACCGCTAGTTAAGTGTTCGGGTAAATTCCAAGGGATCAATGAGCAGTTGAGTGTGACAGAAACTGTATATTTATTTGATGGGCCAAATCTGACTTTTTTTTTTAAACATGTTATTTGCAGTAGATGGAACGCGAACGAAATGAACACTTCTGCTCCAAAAATTATTTTTGCTGCGTCAAAATGAACTTTCGGCCGCTTTAAAAGGTGCTCCAAAATGACTCCAGTCAGTCACGTCACTGAAGTTATAATACCCCCACATCGTTTTATATTACAACGTCTGACATCAGGCTTTCAGCGTTGCCAGTAAGGCGGCTCATGGGTCGTTCACACACTTGTAACCGAGAACGACCGAGACAAGACCGGTTTTTAAGCCTCTTGCGACGTCTTAGGACCGGTTGCGCTGCTGCGGAGCTGGTCCTAAGACGTTGTAAGAGGCTTAAAAACCGGCCTTGTCTCTCTCGGTCGTACTTGGTTGCAAGTGCGTGAACAGGCCTCCAGCCTCTAAGACAAAGCTTACGGTTGCACGTGTGTGAACAGGCCTCCAGCCTCTAAGACAAAACTTACAACTTCAATAACTTCGCAAAAAAAAAAAAAAAAGTTATTGTGATTTGCAGTTTCGGAAAGCAGTGACTACCAAACACGGTAAGCACACGTTTGTGTGAACTCTGAAAGTAACTTCTAGAAGGCCTCAGCTTAGTAGCGTGTACGTTTCGCTCAAACGGGCTGTATGAGGCTTCCACGAGGTCCCTTTGGGATAAGCAGAAAGGTAGGTTGTTACGCTCGAACTTGATTGTTCTACTCGGGTTTTTGAATGGCGCTTCTCTTGGCGATGTCGGATCTGGCGGTAGGACTTACTCTGCATGATGGTTGCCCTCTTCAGGCACGCCCAGGCGATGACAATGGCCGTGATGATGACGGTGAAGGACGCCACGACGGGGACGACGAAGTAGGTTCGGTAGTAGAAGGGCATCTCTTCGTCAACGAGAGACGGAAAGGAACCGCCGTCTGAAACACAACATACACAGGATTATTCTCAAGAGATGGGAGTGGCTGTATTAGGTCTGTTCATCTCCAACCCTTCCCGAGGTCTTTTCATTTTGTTGGTAGCTGCCGATAGTATCGGCAGCTACCAAGGCGGTGGCGCTAGCTGCGAATCAGACATCCTGACAAACTCCTCGAACGCATCGATCGATCGTCACCACACGTCTCCAGGCTTTTGTTTTGCATCCACGCCCGCGCCATCCTTCAAGCCGCGCGGCAGCGCGCTCATGCGCGTGAGCAACCACTCTGCGCAGGAGGTGTCCGCCATTAAATGCTAAAAACGGTCCATGGTTTGAGCCGGAATGAGTATGCGCAGATGCTCTCCCCTTAAAAAGAAAGGGTTTATATCTATGCGTAGTGCTAACTCCTGCAGTCAAGCGAGCCTGTTCTTGAAACAGTGAGTTTAGGTTGGTGCACGTCAGTGTTGGGTAAAGTAAGTCTAAAAAGTACTTGAAGTACTGAAGTAAATTAGGTTATGTACTTCAAGTAAAGTAGTGAGTACACCGTGTGCAATGTACTATAAATACAACGTACTTTCAAAGTAAAGTACAAGTAACTTTGAGCACAATCTTTTATGACGCCCTTTTATTCCCTTATACAGTGTTTTTTTTTTTTTTTTTACTTGTATGCATTGTTGAAGGGGTAGTCGGGGGTGCATCGGTTATGTTCGGAAATGGCGGTGAATATTGGATAAAGTCAAGTGGCTTCATAGTTGACAAGGCATCATTTTGTGATACAAATTTAAACCAAATGTGGGAAATGTACTTCGAAGTGGGGGTTGTACTTTCCTCGGAAAGTACCAGCAAAAATACTTTAAGTACAAATACACACTCAGAGAATGTACTTCAAGTAAAGTGCAAGCTCTATACCTCCTTTAAGTAGTACTTTAAAGTATAATGTGCCTAAAGTACTTCTCAACACTGGGGCACGTGAACGCACTTTGGCAGCCTTACCCGAGAGGTGGGTGACGGCGGGCATGTCGTGCGAGAAGTCTCCCCTGCCGTACAGGTTGAAGGCGGCCATCCGGAAGTTGTACCGGGTGCCGCTCCGGAGCTCGGTCAGCGTCACGGCCTCCTTGGTGGCCGGGATGTGCAGCTGTCGCTTGTCGCCGTCGTCTGTGCCGTACTGGATCTCGTACTCTGTGTACGGGGCGGATGAGACAGACACACAGCGTCGTTATCTCGTTGTATGTGTCGAGAACCGATATTCCACTGGTAACCTTAGTCCCGCGCGACTCCAATAGCTCATGCTGCTCATGGTTGCTCCCGAAGGGATATCATGGTGCTTTGTAATTGTATACTGTACAGTGTCGTCTGTGAATAGTTTTCGGCAAACATCGTCTGGATGTGTTTTTTCTAGTGCCAGTTTTTAACTGTCTGCAGCAATAGATATTATATAACTGTGCATTTCAACTTGAACAATCTTGATGTAGACCGTAGAAGAGCGCTGAATGTCTTTGCTTCGCTATGTCGATCTTCTCGTAATGTATTGTCGAAGTACTACTACCTGTTATTACAACACTTTTTTTTTCTGACCACTGTACTCCTGTTGACTTCCATGGAAACTGACATTTAATGATAGACATAACAACGAATTAAGGGTGCTGGCGGCACCTGACGTTTCTTCGGGCGTCGTACAACTGGAGCGACAGACAGCAAAAACAGCGCGCGCAAACAATTGAAAACACTTGACTCTTTTTTTTCTCCTCACCACTGAGAGTGACTGGATCACACATATATTCAGTACTACGAAATATTGGATCGTGTTGCCGCAAGACACTGATCCTGTTTATTTTGGCGGACAATAAGTGGTTTGTTTGCCCCCTAAATATCTCGGCGGTGATATATACATTATCATACTTATATAACACGCGAATAAACTCAATTCGAAAGAAATATTAATACTCGTATAGTCACTAAAAGTTTAAGAAACGCAGGAATAGAATAGAATTGGAATAGTGTTTATTCACACGGCATAGCTATAGATACATCAATACCCTAGTATAGTGTGGCTACATAAGGCGGACTCACGTATAACTGGCGACGCTGCCGATGACGGACTGTTCCAGTGTAGGCTCACCGAGGATGACGTGATACCTGTCACCCTCAGGTTGGGCACCGAGGGCGGATCTGCGCAGGAGGGCAAACATCCACGAACAAAACTATCATTAGGACTCGTTAAAGTAGACGGTTTGTGAACGGAACGTCGACGTTGACTATTTCTGTAGCGCTTCAACGGAGGCACGGGAAGCCGACATTTCATCTCAATTAACCGACAATGGGGCGCAGGGGGGTAGTTGACGGCCTAAAGAATACCTAACGTCTGGTTCCCAGTGTCGAAACTGGGTCGATTTGTCGGGTCGTTAATAGATTACTGATATTGATTCTTTTCTCTGGGTTCCAGTATGTCGACCAAAGCGAGTTTTGTCCGTGAAGCAACTATGTCGACTCCAGCAAAACCCTTTCCGACTTAGTTTCAGGGCTTCACGTTTCAGCTCGGTTATGTCGAAACTTCAATCAATCAATCAATCAATTTATTTCCTCTCCATCTGAGAGGGGAAGGCAGGGAAAAAAGCAGCATGTCGCTACTTGACGAAGCCCCCGCCTCCCCTTTACATCCGCAGAAGAAACACAACATATGAGTGAAAGAACAATGCAACATATATGAAAACAGATAATCGAGCGCTTACACAGGACATTGGTGTCAATTATATACATTGCGAAAGAGTTAAACAAGGTAAACATAATTGAGAGTAGCACACGCTTGCTCTAAGAGTTTAGTAATGAGCACATGCACTACAATGCACATTGACTTTGAAAAATATATACGCAACTGCCTCTGCACCTTCAAAACATGACAACACCTATTCAATAGATCACTCAAATAGGTCACGAATTTCCTTTTTGCTTGTGTTGGCCACGGAAATTCCCTTTGCCTCAAGGTTGTTTAAAATTCTTGGGAGAGTAAAAGCCAGTCTCTGGTCACCATAAGTAGTTCTGGAGCGCGGTGCGGCCCAGTTTCGCGAATGACGAGTGCTGTATGTTGCGTCTCGCGACTCCAAACCCGAGACTGAATTAAAAACGCTAATAGGGTTGTTTAATGATCTTTTATATGACATCAAAAGCTTGTAACTATAGTAATTGGTGATTTTTAACGTGTCAAGCTTTTTAAACAAAGATTTTGTGGAGTGATCATACGCTACATTACATATTATTCGTATTGCCCTCTTTTGCATTATAAAAAGTCTCTGAACGTTCGTTTTCGTAGTGGTACCCCAAACCAGGAAACAATAATCGAAATATGAGCAGAACAGGGCGTGATATAAAAGCAGCATTATCGAGGGGGGTAAGATATTACGGTATTTATATAAAACGCCTACAACCTTCGAGAGCTTTACGGTTGTGTCCTGCACCGTCTCATCCCACCGCATATGTTCATTAAAAGTTACGCCAAGCACCTTAGCATTTTTTACAATTTCCACATCTCGTGAGGCAAAAGAGAGCCCTCCCGGCAGGCTGCTGGTGCAGCTTGTATTTTTTGCGCGGAAAATAATTGCCTTAGTTTTTGCAACATTTATTGTTAATGAATTTGCGGTGGTCCAAACGTTTAGACTCTGCAAGAATTGATTTGCTTTTCTTATAATGACGTCAATGCTAGTTCCAGAGAAAAACAAACTTGTATCATCTGCGTATATTATGTAGTTGACGCTATCATCTAAGTTCACTATGTCATTTATAAAAAGATTGAAGAGAAGGGGCCCGAGAATACTCCCTTGCGGTACACCTGCCTTTATTTGGCGCATGTTTGAACGCTCCCCGTCAATTTCAACGTACTGATAACGGTCTTGCAAATAGCTTTCGATTAGGTTCAGGGCAACACCCCTGATGCCACAAAGGTCCAGTTTCTGCAGTAAAGTTTTATGATTAAGGCGATCGAATGCCTTCGAAAAATCGATAAATATGCCTAATGTTAGCAGTTTGTTTTCGATGTTTGTAAGTATCATTTCTTTCTGTTTTAGCAGCGCCAACTCTGTCGAGTACCCCTTTCGGAAACCGAATTGACAAGGGGTAATAATTGAGTGTTTTTCACAGAAAGCGTATAGCCTCATGTGCATAATTTTTTCTAGTCCTTTGGAGAATACCGGCAATACAGACACAGGCCTGTAATTACCCACGTTGTTCTTATCCCCTGCCTTGTGGAGGACGGACACCTTGGCCACTTGCATTCTTTTAGGAAACACCCCATCCTGAAGGGCGAGGTTATAAATGTGGGTCAAACAAGGGGCGATAGAATGAATTACACGCTTTACAGGCCCGATCTGAATGCCATGCACGTCGTTACTTTTACTGTTTCTAAAATTGTTATATACTGATATCAATTCACTGTCGTCAGTAGGCAGAAGAAAAACACTCTCTAAAATCTTATCGACTAGGTCACAAGCATTGACGGAGTGAGCACTATCAACTAAGTCCACAAAATGATTATTGAACCTGTCAGCCAACGCGGCGCCAGTTATGCACTCGCCGTTTACAGTAATCGTTTTAATTGAGTCACTACGAGAATGAGGTTTTACTAACATGTTCACTTTTTTCCACATGACATCCGTTCTAGATTCACCCTGAAACATATCGTAATGGTATGTACGCTTTGACTTGCGAATAGCGCTAGTCACCATGTTCCTTTGAATTTTAAATTCGCGGAGGACGCCCAAATCTCTAGTGTGCAGAAATTTATTATAGAGCGCATTCTTTCGATTCATCATTCTAATTATCTCCGAAGTAACCCACGGCTTGCGTGATTTCTTATGCACTCGACACTTCTTGTAGGGAAAGCACCGGTTATAGATATTTGTAAACGTTTCAAGAAAGAGATCATATGCCTGGTCAGCTGAGTCACAGGAAAAAACCGCACTCCAGTTTGTAAGTTGTAGTTCCTCTTCAAAATAGTTTAGTCTTCTTGAGCTTATATCTCTGTGAAAAGTGTAATTTGTGTTCGAAGACTTTTTTGACCGAATTTTTAGATCGGCAAACAAATAAATTGGCAGGTGGTCACTGATTGTGGCCCCAATGACACCAGCAGTTAGGCGTGAATCATCAATATTTGTTATGAACAAGTCTAGAAGCGTTGCATTCGTATTATTTGCCCGAGTTGGTTGGGATATTGGACAAAAGAAACCGTAGGAATTACACAATGACAAAAACCGCATTTGTTGCGGAGATGACGTCATCATATCAATATTAAAATCTCCGCCCAAGTAGAAGGTGACATTGTTTTCACCCATGAACATAAAGAGTTTTTCAATGAATTCCAAAAACAAGTCCATATCACCATTTGGTGGACGATACATAACAGATAATATAGATTTTGAACTTTCTAAAGTCAGAATTTCAAAATCATTTGTAACAGTAGTCAACTGATCTATGACCGTACATTCGAAAGCAGTTTTTGCGTAAATACAAACACCACCCCCGCGCTTTAAACCGCGATTTAAGTCATAAACGGTGTATCCATCCAAAGGGTCCATCGTCTCATCAGAACGGCACCACGTCTCGGTTAACATAAGGAAATCAAAAGAGAAACCAAAATCGTCTAAAAAAATATTCAACTCATCAAACTTGTTCCGTGCTGATTGAATGTTTAAATGAAACAGAGAAAGGGGAGTAGTAGAGAGGGCGCTGAATTTTCGCCCTAGTTCGTTGGGCAGTGGGTACACTTTTTTGTTCATGTTATAATGGCAAAAGGACATTGTCTCGATTCGGGTTTAAAATACATCGATTGGTGAATGGCAGACATGTGAAAAAGGTAGGCTCTGACAAACAGAAACATCGCAGACTAAAAAAGGAAAAGAAAAAAAGCAGCAAGCAAATAAAGACCAAAGTAAAAACAGGTTGATGAACGGAGACCGAGACATGACACTCACCAAGCGAACCAGGACCGGTCTTCCCTAATCCCCATCGACGGCACGACAGTACGGAGAAAAACGAGTACGAGAGGGAGCCGATGCTCGGGGGCCTATTCGTCCTTGGTTCTTTGTTGCCTGGAACTTTGCCTGATCAGCCCCCTCGTTTCCTTGGAACAGGTTTTTGGTGTAGGACCAAGCTTGGAGCTAACCACCGGAGCGGCTGCCCCCGCTGGCGAAGCGGTCGCCTCCGCTGCTGACTGCGTCGGAGTGGCTGTGTCCTCCGAAGCATCAGCTTTCGGTGTGTCGGGTTTTCCTTGTTCACCAGCCTCCGATTCGTCACGAACGCGACTTCCGGTGGCCTAGACATGAAGCTCCGTAAAAAATATCTTCGAGAATGACTCCAGCGACCCATAGGGGTCGCCACTATCGACCGATGTGGCGTTCGAAAACAGGTCGTTCCGCGTCACGTGCCAGCTCATCAAAGCACAACGCTTGGGTTTCAGCAGGCAAGCTGGCTTTAAAATGGTTTGCACCCGATTTTTATCCGCTGCGTGCAGTACCTGTGGCGGCGTATTGTCGTAAACGGGCTTCCAAAAACCTGTCTTCTTGGGTGATGCGACGGAGGGACTACTGACTGTTCTTCGACCGCGCTCATAAATGTTAAGCAATGTACAATGCCTGGTTCATGCAGTTGCGTAGATCGCGTTCAGAACTGCCAACACGCTGCAGTAACGACAGAGTCAGCGAACGATTGTTCTACACAACACCGAAAACGATGCATGGCGCGCTTAATTCGTTTCACCATTATGAGTCATGAGTTTTCATGTGGCCCCGTCGTTGCTGTTGTTTTCGTTTCCATGGGCACAGCCAACACAACTTCACTTACTTTACTTCGGTGGCCGTTGCACCAACCGCCGACAACCGTGCAATCACGCAAACCACAACAGACAAGGAGATATTGCCAAAGGACCTGTTCCGGCCAGTTCAGTGTTCTCCCACTAGATGCCGTGCGTTTTGCTAGAGTCACGAGTAACTCTTGCAGTCCTCTCTCTGTCTCTCAAAGGATAACAGAGATCAAAACTGCCTGGCGGGCAAAACATGCACCGTCTCGATCACATTTATAAGGTTGGCATAACAAGCGTTAGCAACTCATGCGTTCGATATCTCATACCTCGAACATTGATCACATGACTGGAGCCACCTTCCCACTTGAATTAGTAAAGCTGTTCTTTTCAAATAAACTCTTACACTAACAGCACCCTTAGTCGATCTAATTGCCATCTTTTTTTTTGCGTTTTCACTCCCCTCTGTAAGGCTCGTTCACACACTTGTAACCGAGAACGACCGAAAGACACAAGACCCGTTTTTAAGCCTCATGCCACGTCTTAGGACCAGATGCGCTGCTGCGGAGCTGGTCTTAAAGGGGCACTGACACATCAAAATCATATTTTTTTTTATTATCCGAAACGATCGAAAACGATGCCGGGACATTACCCTCAAAATTTGAAATTTGGGAATTCAGTATTCGTGAAGTAAAAAAACAATTTCCAAATGCCGAATTCGAAGTTCCCGCGCGATCGGCGCCGGTGCCTTGACGTCAAAAATTGGTGAGACCTGAGAGTCCACTTTTTTTTCTCCACTCCCTGCTGTTGCCATGGCGACCCAAAGCGAGGAGGAAAGGAGCGAGCGCCGGCTCGTTGCGGCGGACCGGTTTTGAGCGGTGTCGCCTGTTTTCCGTTGGAGGATACCAATCCAGGAGACGGCACCACAACGAACTCCCGATTTTTGGTATTTCAAAAAGAAGGACCGTAGTGCGTTCGCAATTGCGTTAAAAAACATGTTTTAGGATTGCCGTAATTAAATGTTATAGAGATGTCGCCTACAAAGCTTCTAAATTTCCTGATTCTTGACGTCACCGATCAAAAGAAGCGAGGAGGCGAGAGGCGGGAAAATCAAACGCCAAAAATAAAAAGGCGCGCGCGGGCCCGGGAAAATTTTTTTTCGCGGTGCGGTTTTTTTTGCGTGTCTATGACTGCAACTTACATCGTTTTAGACAATAAAAATAAATACGACCTTTGGGGTGTCAGTGCCCCTTTAAGACGCCGTAAGAGGCTTAAAAACCGCTCTTGTCTCTCTCCGTCCTACTCGGTCGCAAGTGTGTGAACGGCGCTTAAAGACTTAAGGTACACTCTACCGTGAGGATAAATGAATGTAGCAATGCTGTTCTACTAACAGCACCCTTAGTCGATCTAATGGACCTTTTGCGAGTAACAAGCGCCGTCTGGGGAGTTGTCTGCGAAAATAGAAGAGCAGCCCAACACGCCTCCGCCCGCCGAAACACATTGGCATTGTGCCGTTGTATCGGTTTCCAGTGCTTTTTATACCCCGTACTACCGATACTAAAAAACAAAACGTCAAAATAGACTAAATACACGCCAAGACAGATCCTGACAATGTTGCTGTCACAATTTTCGCAGGGCACCGCGTCCCGGTGTCCTGCGAAGATGGCGACAGGTGGAGTGAACGCATGCGCATAAGCTTACTGGAAAAAGGTTCCATTGCCATCCTTTTTTGCGTGATCACTCCCCTCTGTAATGTACCTTGTACCTTGAGGGTAAATGAATGTAGGCGTACCTCCGTTGAGTGTGGCGCAGGACACCTCCTCGGAGGGAGGGCCGGAGCCGACCTCGTTGAAGGCCTTGAGCATGAAGCGGTACACGGAGGCCGCCTGGAGGCCCCGGAAGGTCCGCTGCTCGGTGTCCCGGTTCACGGTGTCGTGCACGAACGGGGTGCCCTCCATCTTGTGCCCGATGTAGTAGCCCTTCAGCTCGCCGTTCAGCTGGTCCGCCGGAGGGGGCTAAGGGCGACAAGACAACGGGCTATGGAGCGTTCGTACTCCGGAGGTGCGCCCTCTGCGCGCTGCCATCTTGGTCTACTGGGGTGTCGGTCGCGAAATATTAGGCGCCGGGAGCGCGTCCACAGCCAAATAAGCCACATTTTCTGCCCGGGTGACATCCAACGCCACAGACGTCACGTCAAGACGGTGCGCCATTATGGTGGGTGGAACGGGGAAATGTGCTCAGCCCTTGCTCTTTGAAGGGCGGGTTCTTGCGCACGCGAAATTCTCATATTGCACGTGCACTGCCTGGACGTTGGTGGGTTGATGGACGGATAGACGGTAATATCGGGATCCTGCATTTATCTAATACCTACAGCGCCCAAAAGGCATTATTTAGCGGACATATAGCAAGCTACCCGTTTCTGGGCGGCGCCTTGCGCCGCCAGCCTGGAAACATTTGGGGGTTTTAGTACATCGTCTCAGTAACACCGATAAAGATACGATGAATGCTCAAAGGCGTCAGAAGAGTATCGAGTTTTGTTATCGGCATGTTTGGAATGATCTACTAAAACTCCCTCTTCAGTTTACTCACCATCGCCCTAGATTTTGTCCCGAATTTCCCATTCCGAAACCCTTGATTTTGTGTCTAATTTTTCATATCCTTAGGTTTCTTGCACCTATCTTCTGACCTTGTCCTTTTTGTGATTATGATATTTTGCCTTCAATGCTCGCCTCCTCGTGGACAAATTGAAATACGATGGCAGCCTCCATACTACCTGGATTGACGATAGGCACTTTGGAGATTACTCAAAGAACTGGTGGTAGAGCTTACCTCCCAGGAGACCTTGATGTTCCTCGTGTCCAGAGCTTCACACTGGACGTTCATAGGAGGACCGCTAGGTTCTGTTCACAAAGAACAAAAATAAGAGATTGTACAAACACTCTTACAACGTTTATACGTTTCCTTAGCGAGGTTAGTGTCAAGGTCGAAGGAAACATCTTGGGAAGAAATAGCGGTAAAAAAACTTGGACAAGAGTAAAGAAACATACACGAATGGACGGCGTTCAGCGCCGTCCTGTCGTGTATGTTTCTTTACTCTTGTCCAATTTTTCTGCCGCTGTTTCTTCCTAAGATGTTCACCTCAAACCAACTAGCCCAACACGTCACATTGTTGTCGGAGGAAACGTTTTTGGAAACACTGTAGATTTACTATTTTTAAGAGGTTCTGGCACCTCCACTATGGTCGCTCTGTGCGTGTAAGATGGCAGATAACCCCATTCGAAAACCATTCGCGGTGCCTTTTATAAGCTTTGTTTTTGGTCAACGCTTCGTAGACTCCTGCGCCAACTCAAAGCTGGGATTCATCTTTTCTAAAGTCGCTAGAAAACTTTCCCCACGCAGACACACACTAAGAGCACGGCGATTGTGAACGCTTGGATGACTGTACTGTTGGCACCACCCGCACAGACACAAACACAAATTGAAGAGCCTTGTCACGTCGCACGATTCTGACGTCCGATTGGTCGAAGTGGCTAGATGGCAGAGGCGAGTAGCGCACACTTTGAGCACCTGAATGGCTAATCGGAGCACCAGACAAGCAAGCACAACGAACCGTTTCAAGCGCCACCTAGACGAACGAGTCATTTTCTAAGCTACGAACACACACTCATACGTACACCATCGGAACAAGGGACGCGGTTGTGGCGAAGCGTTTCCAACGAAGCACACCTCGACGAGACTTTGTCGACCAAGTGCACTTTCCCCGATGAAGTCTTGACGAAGTTCACTTTCGACGATGTACACCGCCGGGGAAGTACACTTTCGACGAGTCACGCACACTCTTGACGAAGTGCACACTCCCGATTGAAACCCATTCCGACAAGGTTCGCTTCTAATAAGACGCATTCCCAACGCTTGACTGGGTCTACGGACCCTGAACGCACGCAACACGCACGCGCACGTACAGAAGGGTCGATGACTTGATACACGTCCGATGCTTGGCTCGGCGCACGATCCTTGATGGATGCATGGGTGCACGCATACTGTAATAAGGAGTACTCAACATTTCACTGGGGCTCTTGAACACGGGTGTAGAACACGTACGAAGAGCGTAATGCACTGATACATCCCAGGCACGTGATGGTTCAGATGATCCGACGCAGCTTCTTACGTGGTTCGCTTGAGCGACGTGAATCATACTTCCGAAATTCGGACGTTAACGACAGACAAGTTGTCGGTTTAACGTGCGCCTGTTTCGATATTCGGGCAGTCAGCCAGGTCACAACTTTGTCACAGTGAGCGCTTATTTCCCCAGGGATGTATAAATAACCGACGTGCCAAGGTATCGGTACAGCTTCGTCGATTAACTTCTTGTAGACACAGTTCGTACGAAGTCGCGGAATCATCAACGACCTTTTTTTTTATAAAAGAAGCAGGTACCAAGAAGTAAGAAGAAATTTGGGCCCGCTAAAGGAATAATTGCAATCTCATGTGGCGTAGTTAGGTTATGGGACAAGCACGTAGCCAGGGGGGAGGCCCATGGGGCCCGGGCCCCCCTGGAAATCTTCCATTTTGCTGGGACTCCTCTCCCCCCTCCCCCTCATACAGCGTTTTGTCATGCCGAAAAAAAAATCCTGGCTACGTGCCTGTTACGGGCCATAATAGAGTCATGCACCTTAACTTATGGCACTTGACTGCACACGCTCTAAAAACGTCAGAATCTACTTTGCTGAGAAGATGACGGGCGCAAATGATTTGAAAAGGCGACCTTAGCAGAAACAAGGAACAAGCGGAAAAACATGCAAATTTTCACATGCGCAGACTGCGTTTTCCATGCAAACTGTCCATTAAGCAATCTTGTACACGTTACGCAAGAAAAAAAAAGTAATCGATTACAATTGCAATTACTCTTGCTTAAAAAGTATTAAATTAGATTACTTGATCACTTGAGAAGAAATGTAACCGGCCGTCACCTGAAAAAGTTATTAACAGTTACTTTCCCGATTATTTCCGATTTTCAGAACGGCAGGTTTTTCTTCCCGATTGAAGACGGGTCTTTCGCACTGTCCATTACTGGGTCAGTATATCACCGAATTATAAAGCACGCATCTTGTTAATCCACCAATTTTGGTAAACCATCGTCCCGTCCAAGACTTGGTTCGAAGATTCCTTGGAAGAAAACTCGAAGTCCCATTTTAATTCAAGGAGTAGGTAAGCTATTGCGGAAACAACATCAATACACCAAAATACGGTGAAAGAGAGAAAGAGAGGGGGGGGGGGGGGGGAAGGGGGGAAAGAAGCGAAGGGAAAAAGGGGCGCACCTTCGGCAGCTGTCTGGAAGACGACCGTGTCCGAAGGGTCCCCGAAGCCCACAGAGTTCTCGGCCAGGACCAGGGCCAGGTACTCGGTGCCCGGATGAAGGTTGGTCACCATCAGCGACGTCCTCATGCCGTCCACCTCTTGCTCCTGGAGTACGCTGCCCCGCGCTACGCAACAATAGTGCAAGCCTCGAGTTACACGACTGCGAACGACGAACCGACTGGCGTTCTGTAATTGGTGGGCAACTATGGATCAATTAGCCCTTGTTCGCTCTTGCCTCCGGTCAAACGGATTTGATCGGTTGACCTCTCCCGCTAAATATGTAGTGGGAAAATACCCCGCTCAATTTGGTGAAACTTACCCAAAGTCACAGAATGTAACGTAACGCCGAAACTTCCCAATTCTATAGCATTCGGTTGCGGAGAATGGTCGATTGAACGCTCGTGCTTAGCGGCGATACTAGACTTTTGGCCCTTTTCCATTAAATCAGATTTTAATCGGAGATGAATTAATCGTTGGATTTAGAAGCGTTGGCTAGGTGGCGCAAGCCGCCGTCCGACCAGAAGGGTTCAGCCGTATCATCCGTCCATACATGGGGGAGGAAGTCGGCGACTGACAAAACTAAACATATGTTTATGCAAAACGACAACACACAACACTGTGTTGCGACAGTGAGCATGGTGAAAAGTCACTATAGTCAGTTACAGGTTAAGAAGGTAGCGGCAAATGCCCCTCAAAGGGAATCAGATATCCCTCCGCCACCTCCGCATCCAATAGCGTCCCACCGTTTCCGTGACGTCGCGGCCAACGCGCGAGGAGGGTCTTGCCTTTCTGTACATATTTGCTTTATCTTTCGACTTTGACTTAGCATTGTGGAAGCCACGAGAGGGAGATTAGAGTTCCCCCCACCGACGGAAACAAATACGACTTTCGGGGATTAGCTTCCCCCCCGATGGATACAAAGGCTGCTTTCAGGGGCTCGGTTTCCTCTCCGATGAATACAAAGGTCGCTTTCTTAAAAAGTGGGGTCGGAGACAAGTGGGAATCCATTGAAGCGGAACAAGGAGCGTTTCCAGTGAACTCTTCTTTCGACTGCGCAGAGATTTGAAACGGGCGCATCACGCTTGTGGGAGGAGCTTCTCCTACCTTCTTGACTTGTAACCGACTATAGGGCGCAGAGTGTTTCTTGAGGTCTCAACATATTTTCAGCGCTTTCATTCATTGCAGCGATTGGCTGTCCCAAGTGCTTTGGGGGAAAGCGGACCTTCCAGATTTCCGAGTGTGTGTAATGGCAGTCAGAGAGGGGAAGTCGTGCAAGTGCTCACAGGACTTCCTCCAGTAGCGGAACACGTATCGGGACACGGGCTTCTTGGGCGGAGACCACTTGACGGACACGTAGCGGCTCCTCCTCTCCGTCACCGTGACGTCACCGGGGCTCTCTGGGGGCTCTGCAAAGGGGACGGACCAATCGGAAGGGTTCCACCAAGCATGGACCAAAATGTTCGCCGATAAAAAAAAACAAAAAAAAACTACGCATCGCGCGGATTAAGATTGGCGAGAAGAGAAAGTCGGGGCGCAATGGAGCTGGTGAAGATTAGGCATAGCGCAACCCCGAGAGTGCAAGTAACCAAAAGACGACACCCCCAAAAAGTATCTAGCATAGCTTAAAATGCATCTTCCTGCGAAGACACTAGACTGCGAAGAGACGGAACTTCACAAAAGAAGGAAAGCAGCCACCCCCTTTCCACGTTAGCACTACTATACAACTAGACACTCACTCTGAACATAAGCGATAGGAAACCCTCCTTCCGTAAACCCGGACTGAATCCACACGGACCAAAAAATTATTATTTCACTTTTCAAGTGAAATAAAATTTAAGCCGTGTTAGATACTTTTTGCGCGTATATGTGTTGTATTTTGCTTAGTTGCAGAATCGATGTTGTGTTATGTCTAAGATCCGTATCTTATTAGTCGCTGTCAGTAGGCATATTTCATAAAGTGCAAAGCGTAGCGAAAAACCCAAGTTTGTTTTTATAAGTTTTGCATAACTAACTTTTTAATTAGTAAAAATTAAACAAGTTTCAATGATAAACTTGCTAGACAGAATCGGAAAACAGTCAATCAGTCAATTTGTCTGGGTCCAAAAAATACACCAAGTACATGGACGTGGCCCCGCATATATTTCGCCTTCATTATCATTCCCATTTTTGCTCCACCAGCCTGGCGCCTGCGGCACACAATGTTTATTTTACGCACCTCCAAGCTTCCCACGAGCTGCAGACTGCAGTCTCTCTAAACTTTACTTATTTAGTGCTTTTCGACAATGCCCAGCACGTTTCTTATTGGAACTAAAAAGTGTTATGCAAAACCAATTAAAACACCTTCCGGAACGTTTTGTACCCCTCTCTCTTTCTCTCTCTCTAAATTAGCTTCTCGGGAATGACAAATCCGGTTAACGATCTCTTCTAATGCGATTAGCTTTCTTGAGATCTTCGGGTGACTTTGAGGTGTGTTTCTGCCCGTTTATTTTCCCCGCTTAATTTAGTGGGGAAAATCATGTGACATCACTTGATGTCACGAGACCTATACACAAATTCAGTTTTTCCGCAAGACTTAGCGGAAAAATTGACGTCACGTGACTTCGACACAAATTCAGTTTCCCCGCTGGATTTAGCGGGAAAAGTGACGTCACAGGATCTGAAGGCCAATCCGGTTTCCCCTCTAAATTTAGCGGGGAAAATGAGGTCACAGGGCTCGATGTCGCGTGACTTGTAACGAAATTCAGTTTTTTAGCGGCGGACGGTGACCGGCTGCGGCTCTTCCAATAGACCTATGGCTAAATTACCCAATCACCAAGGAGAATGCAGGGATTGGTGTTCCACGCGCCGCAAGTGCTGGCCTCAGCAGTTGTAATTTTTCTAAAGCAGATGCCTAAGACAAATTGCACCTTGCACGCGCGTTCGTCAACGTTTTATTTTGGTTATTTACTTTGAATCTTTTATACGGGGAAGGCATGCGCGTGTGGGCCGTCTGGCGCATGGAACACCAATCCCTGCATTCTCCTTGATGCTTAGGGTAATTTAACAATAGGTCTATTGTGTCTGCAGCTGCTGGCTTGATTACACAACAACATAGTTGGTTCTGCCCAAATTTGTTTTTTGTGCAATTAGTAATTTTTGCAGGAACAGCGCGACCATGCAATGCTCGGTGAGGCACCCGGTACCCTAAAAAAAATGCAGTGCAACTACTTCCCCGCAAAGTTCTTGAGCGAGCCAATCGCTGCAGTCAACGGAGGAGGCTCAGTGAATTGCGAGGCTGAATATTATGTTTATACACACACACACACACACGCGCGCGTACGCACACATGCGCACGCACGCACGCGCGCACACACACACACACACAATGTCTGCGCTCTAACACTGCGCATGGCGTAAGCTGTGAAAGGTCATGCTCAGTGTCAGAGTGCAGACTGTTTGTTTTTTTTGGTCTTTATACATATTTGCAGCCTCGTCATTGGTCAAGCTCCCAGCGTGGATTCCAGCGATTGGCCCCTCAAGGGCCATGCGGGAATGTAGACGCACCGAATTTCTTCCAGTGTATGATCGTGTGGACCGGGCGTTCCATGAACAGGCATACCATACTGACTCAAGTAATAGCCGCACTATTTATGAACAAGGCCCTTGTGGCTACTTTCCCACAGAACGCATATACAGTCAATCATTGCGTTGCGCATAAATTACATAGGGAATAACCAGGTCGAGAACACGATTCTCCATACAAATGCTATCTTCACAGATGGCATCTTCGCACGAAGACGTTATCTCTGTCATGTAAACAGCTGGAATCATGCTGTCGATCGCTGTGACTGGCAATCCGCATGCTCCGCGGAAAAGCGAGACCTCAGGCTTTTTTCATAAACAGTGCGGCTATTACTCGAGTTAAATACGGTATTTGTGCACAGGAGCTATAGATGAGCAGAGCGGATGTGCAGGAGCTTGCGTTTCCAAGCGCATGCGCGAAGCACGTGCAGCTGCGGTCTCCACGTTCGGCGTTTAGTTTGGGTTCGCGAAAATGAGTGCACGCTTCGCTCGCATGCTCGTCACCTTCTATATATCGTAATTTGGTAAGCGTATACTCTGACCCCTGTTATTTCTAACGTTCATCGCGAAAAACGCGGATACCCGATCATCCAACGATGAAGAGACGGAGAGAGAAAGTGAAAGAAGGAAAAGCGACGCTGGCGAGGAGGACGCCAACGTGATATCGATTTTGTCGGGTCTTCTCGGGCGAGCTGCGGCCCCGACCTGATAGACGGTGTGGAAGCTTCACTGATTGTTCCTTTGTTATCCTCCGTGCATATAGTGCGTGCGATCGATCACGTGCACTTGGTTTGAACGTTTGCACGCGAGCGGGTGCACGACGATGTACGTTGGATCCCAGGGCCGTGCTTCCCGGCGAAAGAGCGTGGAATCGCCGTATCCGTTGTGAATAACGGATGGCAGTTCACGGAAGAAGCGAGTGAGCTGGGATGCACGACGCGAGTCCGTTTTGCAGCGTATTTTGCGCGCGTATATACGCGCGTCGGCTGGCAAGTGGACACGCGTGTCTCTATAGTGTAATTGAGCACGCTCAGGCATGCGGCGAATTTGAGCGTGCACGTGCCTAAGTGCTGACGCATGGATGGGTTGCGTCTCTGGTTATGCGAAATTTTGTTTTCCGCGGTCAACATGCCGGTCCGGGAAGTGTATTCGAAACAGCCAGCGTCCTGCCGGCCTCCGTGACGAAGCATCTGCGTTGCTGTGCTTTTGGCCAATGGGAATTTAGGTGCCGTTTCGCTTAGCCAAAGGCAACTTAGGTGCCGTTTTTAACTGCTACACACAACGGCTACAAACAACGCCGGCTTCGCGCCATGGAACAGTTAATGCTTTCGCGTTAAAAGCGTGGGAAGTAATGTCAGCACGCCAATTTCTGAATTCTGATTGGCGCGTAAACTGTCCCGAAAATCAGGCGATACGTTGACGTTCATGAAAACGCGCCAGTTAGAGCGCCGAAATTGACACGTATACCTTTACGGGTATCTGACCGGTGGCAATCAGATCGTGGAATGACGTTTCATCGATACTGGGGGACGTTTCCTCGATAGTTCGTTTCATCGAAAGGTTCCCGCGTTCGTTTCATCGACACACCTGGGGACGAGTTTCATCGAAGGCCTGCTGCAAGCTCGGGGTTTGAGATATTAAAATTTCACCGAGCGAAGCCAAAGGGTGTCCCCGCATAGCGTTTTAAAGTTTAGGATTAGGCCTCGCGATTTTGTTTTTGTCCTGCCAAAGCCGACTGGTGGGGGGGGGGGGGGGGGGGGGGGATTTGCTTGACTTTCGGTATGCTTCCAGCGGACGAAATGAATCCAGTAATCTAATCTAATTCATTTATATATAAAAAAATTGTCGACGAAACGAGTTCTTAACAAATATCGCAAAGTCGACAAAATGTGTCTATGAAACGTGTGGCCATGGAAGGTTGTTTACAAAGGGTGTTTTTATTGAGACGCGTTTCGACGAAACGACAAGAAGGCCCCCTCCAATCGGCGAGAGCCCCGCTTACCGAGCACGGTGAGACGGAAGGAGTGCTTGGTCTGGCCGTAGTCGTTCTTGGCCACGCAGACGTAGGCTGTAGCGTCCCTCCGCACGCTGTTGTGGATCACCAGCACCGAGGTCACGCCCGTCGTCGTCATCTCCTCGTGAGTCTCGTACCTGGACGGTAGCAGAAGCGCCATAATGCCAGTATGTTTCTTTTTTATTTTATTAAGCGCGGAATGTTTTTGAACGCTACCCCCTACCCCAGAAAAAAAGAATAAAGAAAAAAAGATTTGTGTAGATACCTTAATTGGCGTCAACTGACACGACTTGACGCCGTGACGTCGGGTGACTTCACGTAACTTGACAAACAATGTGTTTACTTCCCGAAGTGTCTCCTTAATGTCAAATAAACAAATATCAACGATCGCTCCTTAAATGCTATAGATTTTATGCATTTCAGGACCGTAGATAGGGGGTCGCTGATAAATTTTGTCTGGGTGGTAGCCATGTTCAATTTTGACGCAGCCTGGTAGGCGGAATACTCGTGTTTGGATTATTTCACAATTTGAAAATGTTAAAATAAAACAAAGTTGCCTAAATTTTTTTGTTTTTGTTTACCGGCTATTAGTTTTTGGTGTAGTTTTGTTGAAACATTTTACATAATTTTTCACCACCCAATTCAACTCCATTAAAATTCACTGTGGTGACATTAGTGAGTAATGTACTGACCTGAAGCACACTTCGAAGAAATTGTTTGGTTGTGTGGCATTGCAGCGGCAAAAAGTAGATATAAAATTGAACGATGTGCACATTTTACGGACGAAGTTGGTGGTAAAACATTGTCACGTACTGTTCTGTTCCGTTGTTAAAATACAAATTGTAAAATGAGGAATAACAAAATAAATTCGTCGAGAGGCCCGAAAAACGCGTTATCTAATTTATAATAAAAAATGAACATACTTAAAATTGTTTAGTCGCGTCAGGTCTGCGGTATGTGTGCACGCAATACGCGTAGTCAGGTGACTCAGGCACGGTCGCTGATTGGTTTTGTCGGTGCTGCGTCCACTCCACTGACGCACTATGGGTGAGTTGGCTATAAAGGTGGTGTTATCGGTGCTGATTTGGGATGTGTACGAAATGTGGAGATCACATTGTTTTGTGATCTGTTCCCTGTTCCCCATAGCTCGGTGTTTATTGCAAGCATCATTGAGGACCGGCATTTGAAAAAGAAAACAAAACAAATGTAGAATTAGCTCCCTGTGTGGATACGAGGGCGTCGGTTTATCTCGTAGACCTCGTGTATACCTTTAATAATTGTTGTTTTCAGATTTTTCTGGCAACAAATAGGCAAGTTAGAGCATCGGTTGTTGCCCTATGTTACAATAAAAACAACGGAAGCCTATTGAGCTAAAAGCAGGTCTAAATGTTAGGCGTTTGAGAAAATCGGCCATCTGCGTCAAGTCCTTACTTCGAATTCTTTTTCTTCACGCTGTGCTCATAGAAAAGCACGACGAAAGAAAAAAAGCGATAAGTTTCATCTGCTATGGTCACCGTCACCATGGCAACGAAGCGTCTCCTGAACAGACGCATACGGAAACGCAGCGTGTGGAGCCAGCAACACCCGACGACATTTTCCGAGTGCCGTCTGCTAAGGTCAACGTGACAACGCTAGTAGCCAATAGTGGGCGCTAAGAGCGCGAAGCGGTCGCCTGCCGAACCCTTAGCGGTTCTGAGGAGGCGTGGTGCAAACTGGGGTCTGAGATTATATTTCATTTCTCCGAGCGGAGCAAAGGAAAGCGAGGGTTAGTTTGGAAGCCTAGCTTGCAACCCCAAGCTATAGCGTTGCTGCATTAACATTAGGGACTTTTGGCAAACTGTTACCGTGTTCCTTGTACCCCACTACTGGAGCCTTTGAAGCATGCTTTTAAAGGGGAACTCCGGCGACTTTTTGAGCAACCCCAACTAACTATATTTTTGAAATCGCTGTCCTTTACTCTTTCTAATATGTTATTTTGTATCGTGAAATTCAGAATAGTTATTGTGAAATCGGCAAATGAAAATGACGCCAAAACGAAGATTCGAATATACCCGCGCTTTTCATTGCCGTGACGTCACGAATGTTCCGGCTTGCGGTTCGAGCGGGCAGTCTAAAAATGAACTATGCCGAGCATATGTATCGTGCTGCTGCGCGGGAGCTGGAGCGACTTTCCAAAGCATTCATTGGACACCATAAAACTGCTTGTAATCAGTTGAAAACAAAGTTAGCCCAAAGAGTGAACCCCTGCACACTCATGGCGTCACTTTTTCAATGTTGCCAGTAGAGCTTTTCACCTTGAAAAACACGATGAGGACCAAAATTATAAATTCTGTAACTTCGCGAAAAAAAGTTATTTTGTCCAAATATTTGGGTTACTAGTTCAGCGATGTTTGTTGGTGTTTTTAGCAAGTTTTTAGGCAAATCGGGCACTATGAAGAAAACGGCGGAGTACCCCTTTAAGCGCGCGCCCGGATGACACCGTGACCGCAGGGTGCGCGCCTAAAAGCATGGTTCCAAGGCTCCGGTAAGCGGAACACGGTAACGGTTTGCTCAAAGCATCTATTAACAGAAGCATGCTCCAAAGGCACCGGCCGCTCTTGTCTTCAGATGCTTCGTTACCAGGGTGACGGTGACTATAGCGGACAGACTTCATCGTGCGGAAGGAGACGGCGGATGGTTTACGCAGATTTCTGATTTCCTCCGGTGCCTAATAAATCTTTTGACGTTTTCCGCACGAAAATCACTTTTTTTTTTCTTTACTATCCGTCGCCTGCTTTCTTTTTTCTTTGGAGCATTGGCTACCGCTGAGGTGAACTGGCAATGTGACTGTATCTTGTTCTCCCCAAATCGACGCAGACTTTTGGAATGAAGACTACGTATAGCTTACCTGTCGACAGAAGGCAGGAGCAGCGTGTTATCCTTCTCCCACGTTACCACCAACGGGTGCTGGCCCGTGGCTTCGCAGGCGATCTTGGCGATGTCGCCTCGTTTGACCGAGACGTCCGACGACGTCTTACTGATGCGAGGAGGCACTGGAAGACAGAAACCGCCCAACTTTTAACCAAGCATTAAACGCCAACCTATACAAAATCGGGGAGGCTCTTTCAATTTTGTGCGTGCTTCTCTAGTAACGCCTTTTTAGCCACGAATGTCGCCTATTAAATCATTTTAGGCGTGTCAGGGATGGCGGGCTGGGTCGGTCGCATCTTTTTGTCAGACAACTCGTTAATAGGTTTTGTTTTCTGAGGGACCAAAAAAACTCTTTTTTTTTTTTTTGCATTTAGTTATTTAGATGTGCCTACGCAGGGCATTGCTCGAATTTATTGTTTCGACTGATATTTATTCCAGTTCTGTGGTACGCGCTTTTTTGTAAGATGTTGTGTCTGCTTATCGGTTTTTGGCATTGCGATTTTTCGCTCCAGTAGTTGTCCAGTGCGCCACGAAAGTGTTTGACCAAAGACTTGATTGTTTCCCTTTTCCCAGTTCCGCTTTACCCCTCGTTGTGCAGCGAGGAAAATGGCCAGGATGTTATGAAGCGGGTCAAGCGAATAAAGGTCCTCGCCTTCACGAATTTTTTTTTTTTTTTTTAACTGCACATTGAAATTCTGCCGGTCAAAATTTTTGCTAGGGGAAAAAGGTATTCTTGTTGCATGGTCGGTAGACTGTTTACTTTGCGAAATGCCACAGACGATAGGACACGTTCTTGTTAACTGCTGGGACGCTGCGTTCCCTTGGGACGTCCTTCAAAGATTTCTAAAAAAAACGTTAACACCTCACGGCCTTTGTTTTTTGTCTGTGGATGGAGGAGACAGCATGACGCCCTATAACGTGATCATGCTGGTCGGTCTCCATCAGGAGGGTAAAACCGGGCGAGGAGGAGTGGCCAACCCTGTGCGCCGACATCTGGAGTCCCGAATGAAAGAGCGCGACAGAACACGAGAGAAAAAAACCAATGTTGCGAGCTGAAGGACGACTGTCGCAATGGTAATCGCGAAGACTGAAACTTCTCAGCCAGCAAAATTAACAGTGATAATTTAACATTGTAAACTAAATTCTGAGCTATTGTGACGCACATAAAAAGCAGTATACTCATTACGCTGCATTAACTTCCTTTCTGTGGTTTCGCGTTTCGCGGTTTCCTATTCCCGGGGCGCGCCTATCAAAACCATAGCGCGAAGTCGCTTATCTTGTTTAGTTTTGCGTTGACGCGATGCCGTATACCTGCGCGCTATGCAAAAAGAAAGCTTCGATAGGAACGCGAGAATCTTTCCACCGGTAGGTACGTGGATTGGTCTTTAGGAAGGCTGAATCCTAGCGAATAAAACGTAAAGCTAGCTGATAACCATGTGCGGCACTCCAAAGGTCCCCACGCTCCGCCGGTTGCGGCAGCCAGAATACATGGGAAAATGGCGGACCCTTTCCTCTAGAGTTAGTAGTATACATGAACTTTATGGTCTCCATAGCTTGTGGCGCTGCCGCATGATTCTAGACCCGCGGACGTCGACGTGCGTCCCGCACACGAGCATTTTGTTGGAACAATGTGTTTTTTTTGTTTGTTTTGTTTTTGTTTTTTGCCGCTTCTTGGGAAGCCGGCGACCGTCACTGGTCCATGATGGTGTTTGGTGAGCTTGACTTTTCTATGAGCACAATAGCCTTTAGGCTTTTGTTTTTAACTTTTAATTGTATTGTCATTTGATTATCACCCAAACCAAAACCAGGCAATAAAAAAAAAAGAAAAGCCGTGACATGCTGGAAAGATCGCTTAATAATCAAAATGGTCTGTGTTCGATTCCCGGCTGAGCAAACGCTTTTTTCCTTCGACGGCCTCTTCAACGCCCCCCCCCCCCCCCCCCCTTTCCCATCAACCAATCGTTGTCGAACCTCGCGGCCACGCTGTTATCCAGGCTTCATTTTTGGGCTTCACGAAATGCCGAACATCTAACCAAAGGACGTTTCGCTTTAAAACTGGTTTCTGTGCATGCCACCTCTCCTGGACATGAAGTCAGGGACAGGAGTTATATCGGGCGTCGAATGTGCAACTCACCGTGCACGGATACCTTGATGGTCTTGGAGATGGGCGGGGCCACGCCGTTACTGACGTCACACTGGTAGAGGCCCTCGTCGTCCGACTCGACGCTCTCGATGACCAGCGTGCCGTTGTCGTGGATCTTCCTCCGACCCACGGGGTGCAGGGCCACGAACTCCCTGGAGCCTGTAGCAGTTCACGTAGGTATAGACACAGGAAGTCATCAGCCACTTTCACTTAGATACAGCGAGCACAAAAAGTATCTGGACCACTTAAAAAAAAAGGTTTTTGAAAGTTTTGACATTTTTTGGCACAAAGACACGACATTTGTTTTGCAAAAGGATCAAAGACGAGGCTTGCCACAGTAAAACGGTAGAATAAAAACAACAACATAATTTTGGACCATCAGGGAGCAAATAAGTCTGTTTTGTACCAATATGAAAAAAAAAGAAAGCAAAAACAAAACAGACGTTTTGAATGATTAAGAAACAACAACAAAAACGAGTTAAAAAATTATAAATTCATTGTTAATTTGCTTTTGTTTCCTGTTTTGAACAATAAAATGTTCGAATGGCCCGCAAGAACGCTTTTTAACTTTTAATCTAGAAAGGCTCAATTCAATATCTCAATATTGAGCCATAAAGTTTGGGTTTTATTTGTAACTTTTGACTCGGGTAATTGTTTCCTTTTATATTTCTGCAAAACAAACCCACCACCTAGCATCACTGTCCTGATAAATTACAGGGCGGTTGCATGCGAAGTTGATTTTTGCGTTCCACCTATAGTGGGTTAAACCGGTGGGCCCGGCTCTGCACAACCAACTGGTTAGTTATTTATAACCTATAATGGCGTACCGATCTGCATCTTCCACGTGAACCTGGGCTTTGGGAAGCCTGCCGCGTTGCAGGCCAGGATGAGGTCCCTGCCCTGGACGGCGTCCGTATCTTTGGGTTCCGACAGCCAGACCGGGGCCGCTGTAAGCGTACAAGAAATTTGTGATTTTAGTGGAAGGCCGTCATCGAAATTATATTTTAGTTTGCGGTCAGTTTTCTTTTAATGAAATGCTGTTCCCCTTTTACTATACTCTATTTCACGTCATCATGGACCGCAGAGGAGGTTACGGGCAATCGAGGACAATCCAATGGGGTGTGTGAAAGTCACATGACCTTGAGGAGGGCCGCAGCAACGCGCGATCACGTGACACGTGCACAGCGCTGGAGTGGCCGAGATTCCATCGTAAGGAGAAACTGAGTATGCATGCGTGTGGGTTTAGAAAGGGGCACGGGCAGAGTACAAACCGCGCGACCAAACGTACGTTCTGCCTCGCCTTGCAGTGAAGTGTCACACGGCTATTGAGGTCGTTCATTAGATGAATTGTAGTTTCAACATATATGCCACCGAATAAAAACTGTTTATTTTTCAGTTTAAATTTATATTTGCTTAGTGTAGCAAGTTTTGCTGCGTGTTTTTTGTCGCATCTCGCTTCAGGATAGTATGTATGTAGTAAAGATACGCCAATCATTTTTTTTTTATCCGTGTTGAGTACAATAAAGGTACCAAGATAGCATTTTAAGGTGGATGTGGTAATTGAAGCCTTGGACGGCCGTGGCGCCATCTGAAGCCAGAACTCTATCTCGGACCAAAACAAAACAAAGCAAAAAATGCTTCTGTGGTTCTACAGACATCGTAATGGTCTTGGTGACGACTGACACACATGCGAACTACAACCGCACCCTGAGGTCTATGCACCAACACCCTGCCGAAAAACAAGCCCAAGTTCTGCGCATGCGCAGTGCCACCGCTGTGGCGTGAGGTCAGAGAGTTGGTGTATGAGCACAATACGATTGTTTCACGAACGGTGTGTCCGTGGACCCCTTCCTTCCTTCCTTCCTTCGCCATCGGCATTAAGGAAATCGTTTTTCTGTTAGCGGTTACCCTTGACGGTCAACGTCGCGGTAACCCTGTCTTCTCCCCGAGCATTGCGAGCGACGCAGCTGTAGTTTCCGACGTCGAGAGCCGCCAATTTGTTAATGACGAGCAGAGCAACGTTGTCGGCAACGCTGCTGGTGATAACGCGAGCAGAGCTGACCACGGGGACGCCGTCCTTGAGCCACGCGAATGTCATGGGCCTGGTGCCCTTACTGGCTGCACACGACACCGACACTGACTCTCCCAGCGCGGTAGTCTTTGGAAAAACTAATTCCTGGAGCTTCGGTGCATCTGCAATGGACACAAAATAGAATCAAATTAGCTGAATGTTCTTTGAAATAAGCCGATACTGAATATATAGAGCGTGCCCCCGAAAAAAGGATTTTTTTTTTTTCACCGCAAAAATAAGTTATACGAATCTCAGGACGCTCAATCTACACCCAAAGGTAGCACTAGCTCACCGTACCAGAGGCCAAAGTTTCAGAAATACCCTCTTATTTGAAAGTTACGAGTGATTTTTCATGGTAATAAAACCCGAGACTCAGGAACACAGAAGGGGACGAACACAACACAACGTCTCAAGCACAGCTGAACGTTTATTTTTCAGACACTCGTTTAAAACCATGAATCATCACCAGCTCGCTTGTTTTTTAAATATTATTTAATAGTGATTTTGTTTTTCAAACTTTCAATAGGAAAATGGAGCCCGTTCCTGGAATAGTGTACGCCATTCATCCCCACGTAATCGTGGTTCCGTAGGCCATCGTTTTACCATTGAACCATTTTCTAGAATCGCTTATCGTTTTTAAATAAGATAACGCCTAGCTCTGAAACTTTGACATCTGGTCCGGATTAGTAGTGCTACAAGTTTGAGGGAGGACTGGGCGTTGGCGATTCGTGGTTCATTTCTGCGATGAAAAAAACGTTGCACATTGTTTGCGGGGACACCCTGCACGTAAAGCGAAGGCCTGAGTGCTTCTTACCTGAAGCAGCGACTAGCGAGAAGCTGGACGCAGCGAGAACGGTGAGTATGATCGCTTCCATTGTTGTACGCTCTGTCACTGGCGACGCAAGAGTCCGCAAGAGGTCACTGGGAGGTTCATGACGACGGACAGCTGGCGCCACGTGGCGTCCGTTGCTTCAAGCTCAGCGCGAAACACCGTTTAAACGTTTAAAGAGCGCGTGAAAATCGAGCCCGTGCGACAAGGGGCCTAAACGTTGAATCGATCACGTTGAGTTGCAGGTCCTGTTGACTTTCCAGGAGTTTCATTTGGTAAGCTCGTGGAACGTAAGCTTTAGATTTCTTTTTGGTTAGACTACGGATCAAGAGGAATCATTAGTGGCTTAAAATAAGTACGGTCTTTTGTTATGTTTGCGGTCAGTTTCCGATCGGCGTGTTCAAAACACGTGTATTGATGGTTGGCCTTACAAAATAATGTGAGAGATCTTTGCAGTAATGATTGTACTCTCTAAAAAAACCTAGAGTGTCTATTTTTCCCACAAAGCACGCGTGAGAGCCAATCAGAGCGAGCTCGGTGAATGACAAAGCTAAAAATATATGTTTAGACAAAAAAAAAAAAACAGTCTGTGTTATGACACTGGGCACAACACTTCAGCATGTTCAGTGCCACGGCGCAAACTGTTTTTTTATAGGTTTAAATACATTTATAGACTCGTCGTTCGTCGAGGTCGCCCCATAGATTGCAGCGATTAGCTGAACGAAGTGCTTCAAAGGAAAGCAGACGCTTCAGGTTTCTTACAGTGTAAATGTTCCAAGTCCGTGGTTGGTTGTCCATAATCTCTTGTTGATGGCGCTGTTTCTCAGAGTCAAACAAGGCATAGCGAGTTTTGGTGGTGCTGGTAAGCGTCTATAGACAGGAAGTGCCTCGACGACGCGTGGAAATCTACGAGATGAACGTAGTTATGTATACCTCGCACCACTAAGGCAGCCGTCACGCTCGCCGTTCCAGCAGCGTTTTGAACGGAGCAGGTGTAGTTTCCGAGATCGGACGCAGAAATCTTGTGGAGTGTCAGCGATGCGATGTTGTCGTTTAGTGTCTTGAGGCTAGTCGCTTTCGAGTTCACGAGGACTTTGTCGTCTTTGGACCAGCGAAATTCCAACGGTAGATCGCCTTCGATCACGGCGCAAACGACCGTTGTCTGGTCTCCGACGCCGATTCCGTCTTTAAATTGGAACTTTTGCAGGAGTGGGGGCACTGGAAGTGAAGAAGAAAGAAAAAGTCCACATGCTGCTGGCGAAACGACAAAGAAAACGACAGAGGATCAACAGGAAATTATGTTATTTGGGTGCCTTTAAATCATCAATAATGAGCGAGATAATCCTGTTGTTATTACCCACGATATATGGAAATCCACTCACCCCCAGCTTCAGCGACGAGTAGTACAACTGTCCAACACAGGTACTTGAAAAGAACTCCGAACATGTTAAATTTCTAGGAATAGGAACAACCTCAGGTTGAAGTGTTCGAAAAAAGCAACTGGGCCTAACCTTCATTGAACGGCAAGAGCATGGATGGCACATACGCACGTAAAAATAAAGAATATATGTATTGGAGCGTAAGGTTGTTTTCTGGACAACTAGCGCCACGTATCCGTCCACAAGCGAACTACAGCAGCGTTCATCACACGCCCCACCTATTTGAATCTCGGTTTTGTGTCAGACAGCCGTGTTCTTATCGTTCCTCTATATATACATTGAGCGAAGGTTGTGAATGATTAAACTTAATAGTGATTACGTTATAAATATTCAGGAACCTTCCAAGATATTTCGGTTCACGCAAGTTGTGAGTATTCGGTAGGGAACTAGGCTGAACACATTTTCGAGAGAGTCACACCGAAGAGGTCAGTTCCTAAGAGTTCAGTAAATTTTCAGTGAGAAAATGGCACCCGTTTCCGCTAACCGGCGCCTTTCATATCCAATTATTCGTAGGCAGCCATTATATTTATCTAAAGTTTCCGAGAATCGCCTCTAACCTTTTGAGTCAGTCAACTGCAGTTTCTGAAACTTTGCAGTCTGGTCTCCCAACCCGCTAACGCTGCATTTGCGCGGAGACGGAGCATCCGACGACGCGTGGTTTATTTTTGTGGCAAGAAAAAGAAACTCGGTCCTTTTTCTTCCCAAGCACTCGTTATAACACCACCAGTACGAGGCATCGCTGAAGCGCCTCACCTGTAATCAAGAACTGCGAAGAAACGCTATCGACGCCGGCCACGTTGGACACTTCGCAGGTGTAGTTTCCAATGTCGCTCGCGTCGGCCTCGACGAGGGTTAGTGACGTCACAGTTTCCGACAGCAGTTTCACGTGAATGTTTCGATTGGTCGCAAGCTTCCGCCCGTCTTTGTACCAGGAAAACGTAAGGGGTTCGTCTCCTTCGAAGACTACGCAGTGTACCACAACCTTTTTGCGAGGCTCCGGGCTTTTCGGAAAGTAGAAAGGCTGCAATCGTGGAGCCACTGCCGAAGAAACGAGAGCGAAAAAAAAAAAAAATTAACATTTTTAAGGCTCAACAGCTCAATGGGGACGAAGAGTGGTTCAATTCGAAAACTTACCAGCTAGTTCCACGGAGACCACAGCGAGAGTCAAGAAAAGAACAAAAAGTAACCAGAATGTCATTTTGCAGCGACGCGGGAATACCACGAACTCAAGCGGCTTTGTAATGGGCTTAGTACATCTGGATACTGCTCTGAAACGAGCAGGATTGCCGTCTGGAGGTGGTATGGACGCCGAAGCACCAACATTTAGCGATGGTCTTGGCTCGGACAACTAGCGCCGCGTATGAGCTGAGAAAGAAAGTAGCATTCAAAGTGTCAGAGTACGAAGCCCCCTCGCGGTAGCGGCACGAAGTACAGAAATACCACAGCCTGTGATATTGCGTGCAAGACTGCTATGCCTTTGTTTCCATCTGTGTGTTTGGGTTTGTGTGTGTGTCAAAGTTCAACCAATGCAGACAAACCTAAATATTTGCAAACGTTTGCTATGCCTACCAACATAACGTACGCCAAGCAGAATGGCGGGACTCGTTACCAAGTATTTGAACAATGTAGGCTGATGCGTCGTCATGAACGCATTGTGTAAATATTGTTATGTGACAGGGACAACCGAAGTCATCAGTATTCGCAAGGAGGAAGAAAAAACGAGCAAAAACATCTAGACCCCCCGCCCCCCCTCCCCCTCCCCCTCCCCCTCCCCCCCCAAAAAAAATATTATTTAAGCAGGATGGGAGTCCTGACAACTGCGTATACTGACCGTTCACCACCAAGGCTGAAGTGTAGCTGTCCTTCCCTGCTTTGTTGGACACGACGCAAGTGTAGTTTCCAATGTCCTCGGCGGTCACTTCAGGGATGGTCAGCGATGCTGCGTTTTCAGTGAATTTAGCCACGAAGGCTTTCTTTCCTGGCGGTAAGGGTCGACCGTCTTTGAGCCATGCAAAGGACATCGGCTCGTCTCCCTCCATGGCAGCGCAGTACACGACCACCCTCTTGTTCAGAGGGTGGTTTTTGGGAAAGCTAAATGGCTGAATCTTCGGTGCCTCTGAAATGATTGAAACCAAGTCAAGCACGGAACATGCATTACGAATCTTCCAATATATTTGACCGAGCTTCCTGCAGGGAACATGCAGCATAGAGGCAGGGGTGAATTCCTGAGTTATGCACGTATGAATTGTAAACTACTATGTATAAAAACGTTCTTTAAAATTCGTGCAACTGTACACGGCGAAAATGATGAGATGCTTCGTTAACATCTCTATCCGATCAGAGCATCTAATCTCTTTACATCATCTATGCAACTTGGAATTCTACGCACAGATGCCCCCTCTCTAGACAACGAAAATCAGATAGCACCCTGTAAGCCTACATACGTGTACGGAAGTGTGGACTCACCAAAGGCGTGTAGGTCGTTGATGAAGGCGAGCACGGGAATCAGGACCCGAAAAGAACAGACGTTCATCCTGGTCCGAACTTCAACGCTGCTGCAATGTGAGTTGATGCAAGAAATCTACCAGTGATGCCGGATGCGCACCGGAGGGCAACATCGGTGAGTCTGAGATGTCTGTTTGGATTCTGGCTGAGAGATACGTGTAACCGCGTTCTACCAATCAAAATAGTAGCTCATTCTCGACTCCAGTGGACAGCTAGCGCCACTCCACGGTAATTTCGTGAAGTATTGTGTGCAGACAGCTCGTTCTGCGAGATTTCGAATGTTGGAGTTTTAAAGCTACTACTGTATAGTCAGCCTGAAGAAGGTCCGAATTGCTGTGCGTTTAGCGGTTCTTAATCAGACGTGGTGCGTTGTTTTGTTTCCTGAAACGCCGTTTCTATATAACCAATGCGGAGAGCAAGTCGTCTGCTTCTTGCGCAGGGGTTGCGGTGACGTCAGAACGACGCTGGGTTCTGATTGGCTCTGATTGGAAGGATGGTGCTGTGTGATAGTGGGTAGACCTCAATTCTAAATGCCTTAAGGTCTACCCACTATATTTTTTTTCTCCAATGAGCCAATACGAGTTTGGCGTTCTGACAACATTGCATCCCTGTCCAACAAGCAGACGAACTTGCGCTCGTCTGCTTGTTGCGACCCAAAAAAAAACAGCGAACCGGCAAGAGTCCTTCCAGGGGTGTGGTTTGAACAAAAAGCAATGGCGAGTAGGCGCTCTCTTCAAGGAAAGTACGTGTTACCTGAAACACAGCCATCTGTAATCAACTATCGCCACTTGTGGATATAGTCGAACAATCACGAAGCGGCACTGACCTGTGACCATTAGTGCTGCCGTGTAGCTGTCACTTCCGATCGCGTTCGAGGCGCGACAAGTGTAATTTCCCAGGTCTTCGGCGCCTACTTGAGGAATGGTAAGCGTCGAAAGAGTATCGCTGAACATTCGAGGAACAGCTCGCTGAGTCACTGGTTCGCCGTCCTTGAACCAGGAGAATTCCAAGGGCGGCGTTCCTCTTATAGCGATGCACGATACTACGAGTGCTTCCAAAAGAGGGTGCTCTCTTGGCATGTAGAGTGGCTGCAGCTTCGGTGGCACATCGCCTTGGGCTAGAAACCATCGCTCAGAATTAGATAGCGCTCACCATACTGCGCGAATATGATTGTGGGTTCGGTAACGGATACCTTGAGAGTTCGCAGGCCGTGGGTAACCGCAGGCCAGAAGTACGCAGAATGCTGGGACTAGATGCCGCA